TCATCCTCCTGCTCATCCTTCTCATCCTCATCCTATGCATATCCTCACCTCTCCTCCTTCTCCGCCTCATCATCCACCACCTCCCCCTTCCCATTGTACCCCTCGCATCGGTGGGTAGGGACAGGGGTGGCACAAGGCGTGGGTTGTGTCGGGGCGAGACTTGCATTCTAAGGGATGAGAGCATCAATAGCGCTCACATGAGGAGGGGGGGCGAGGAGGAGCAAGATGAACTTAACGAGGGGGCTGAGGTTTGGAGGCGGAGGGGAGCAGGAGGAACATGAGGAGGATGGAGAGGGGGGAGAGGAGGGATAGGGTGATCGGGATGTGGCCGTTGAATGGCTCCGAGGCCCCCACATGACCACGGCACACATGTTCGCTTCCAGAACAGATCACACTCGCTCGTTTCCGAGAATGTCGTCTCGCCTGCGCCCGCTCGAACGCCGAGTCATGTTTATCCAGCTGCTGCACTCATTTTCGAAAAATACGGTTGCCCCAGGACGGAGCTGCAGCACAGAAAACCCAGCCCAGATCACGCCCTCCAGGGTGCACGCATTCTCGGAAGCATTGCCTTTCCTATCGAAGGCAAGTCGTCCGAGCCCAAGCCGATATTACCACCAGGGCGGCTCGCACCGCCATGGTGCAGATATTGGCTTGGGCTTGGTCGGTTTGCCTTCGCGTCCTGTCGAACTTACGACTAGCGCCTCCTGCGTTTCGCACGAGGTCGCTCGTCTCCCCGCTCCCGCAGAACATTTCGAACAGGTCGAGGTTCCGATCGGGAGGACTCTCGATCTGAATCCGCGCCACCTCCTCCTGGCCCATCCTCACGATGCTCATCATGTTCGTGCTGCTCAGCGTCCTCTGCTTCCAGGTCGGCGCCAGCTCCCTCGCCCTCGACTTCACCCACGCGGGCACCCCCCGCTGCTCGCCCTCCATCGCCAAGATGCGGGAGGGCGGTCCGCGGTGCGAAAATGTGGGTGTTCCCTCCGACTTGGCCCAGAAGTTCAAAGCAATAAAATACAGATGACTCCATCGTTCGCTTGTGGGCGGCCTGAGCGCACAACCTGAGGGCTAAGTTCAGATGCTCGTCCGTGAAGGTCGCTGTTTCTTTCGGGTTGCCTTGGTCCCAGGTCCTCTAGGAATTCGTTTGGAGTTGGCTGGGTAGGTGGGTGGTGCTGGGGGGAGGGGTGGGTTGTGGGCCCCTCGGGGGCCCGCCATCAAAATCGCAACGCGGTCCCCGCGGAACGTTGTCGGCCGTTTTGTCCAAGTACCCGACGGTTGGCACGCCCTCCCCCTTACAACCCCTTTTTCCGCCGTTCGGCTCCTCTGATCCCGACAATCCTCCTCACCACCTCAATCATCAACCTCATCATCATCTCCTCCCCCCCAGGAGCCTCTCTAGTTATGTACCCATGTGTCCTGATTGTTAAGTGGCCAAAGCTGTGGTGTTTGGGTAACGAGTGGATACCAGCGTCCTGCGATTGAAAGATACACACTCGACACGTGTCCAGCAACCGTTGGTACTGCGATACCGTTAGGCGTGTTCGCGCTCCACGGCACGTCAAGCACCACTCCTCCAGCGACACCGATGCCTGATGCAAATTCACCCCTCGTGGTAATACAGCGAGGTGCTTCCTGCTCATATGTATGGCAAAGTTCAGCAGCATATGACATTCGGCAGCTTTCACCTTCATCATTCCACCAGGGTGGGGGTCAGCACCAGGACGCGGGAGCATTTTTTCTGTGATGCCGCCCATCCGCATATCGGGGGGTATATCTGCATAATCGTACCACCCTTCCAAATCGTGAACCAGTCGCTGAAGCTTCGCATGTTCTGGGGCGTGCCAGGGGTTCGCTCGAAGCAGACGCATGAAAATTGCCCCAACCAGGGTCATCATGACCCCGCAGTAAACGGTATGCAGGGAGTCTATCGCAAGAGTTCTGGCGGGGCTGGTACCCAGAGACTTCGAGAAAATTGGCGATCTATGGGTGACCCAATCAATGGTTTTCTTCCCACCGACATCATAATGTGACCTCCAGAAAGTGGCTTCAAATGGTATCGGGTACTTCTCGAACAGATTCGGGTTCACCACCGACGCAGATGGTTCTAGCCTGTCTAGCCGAGCAAGGCCGAGCCCAGGATACTCAGGGATGGGGCCTACCAAAACTCGCCCCTTCGCCGATTTCCCGTTGATGTCATATGTTAAATTTCGAACGATAGCTGATCGGAGGGCCTCCGAGTCCACCACGACGCGAATCTCACACGACAAACATGCCCTCTCGTATTCCTCCTCGGCCCTATCATTGTACAACATACCGTCACTCGTGATGAAGCCAGGCCCTGTGACGTGCATACAGTCCAGGGGGCAATCGCAAATTGGGCATGGGTTGTATGATTTTGCCCACGACGATAAACCGAAACTCTTCTGATATTCGGCCCAGTCTCCTTTATAATACAGGACCATGCACCGAAAACCTCCCAGAGAGTCCCCAGGCTTGTTCATATCATCGAAGGGGTCCCATGGCGTCATGTCGTGCCGTCTAGCTGGCACTTCACCGTTGACGAGAGCTTCTAACATCCAAGCTGCCACGAGAAACATCGCGTGAATGCTGCAGTGACCGCCGCAACCGCACTCACAATATTGCGAGGTTCGAAGGAAGCCGAGAAGATGCCGTTTTTTGGTCAAAAGATTGATCACGCTTACTCCTAACAACGAATCCGCTGCCTCGGCTACGTGTCCGAGACTGCACTGGCGCGCGGCAATGTGTCTGTCAGACGGGTGAGTTCGTCGTGAGCGTTGGGGTGGGGTGGGGTGATGCGCGGTGGGGTGGAGTGGGATGGGCTGGGGAGAAGCGGAGTGGGGTGGAGTGAAGTGGAGTGGGATGGTATGGAGTGGGATAGGGCGGGTGGGGTTCGGGCGGAGTGGGGCGCAGTCGGGTCTACCGGCCTCAACCGAGCGCGGGGGCGGACGAAGCGGCAGCCACGTGTATCAATGCGGCCTGCTGATACAGGCGTGTATCGGATGCCATCCGCGTAAAGACCGAGTGGGAGAGGAAAGGATCCCGACTCATCCAGCGATTTCTGCACCAATGGGTTCGATCGATACGATGGCAACGACATGACGCTATCGAAATTGTCAGCGCCCCCACGTTTGAGCACATCTGCCAACCAAGGTGTTTCCGCGAACTCTCTCGAAACCGCGTGGTAAATATTTTTGAAAATAACATCTCTTGATTTTATCGAAGGGTCCTCTTTCATATGAACTGGGATCTGAGCTCTGTAGAAAGGACCTCCTTTAGGGAACTGCCGCTTCAAATGCTTTGAATATCGCCCCGTCTGGCATCCAGGTGGCAGAGCTATCCGTCGGAAATTCGCCCCAGGTACCCCAGCTCGAACGGCGTAGTGAGCGAGAATGCATAGGTCTTTCGAGGACATCCGCTTACATCCCCCATAGATTGCGAGAAGGGTGTCAAATAATTTCCCAGACGCCAATCTGGCGCTGCTGGTCCAGTTTCGATTGAAACGAACAAATCTGCGAGGCATGTTGACATTGGGCCAGTATGCCTAGCGACGGATGGTTGAATGAAGGTGAGTGGAGAGAGGACTACCATCGGTGCTGTGCACGTGGCGCTTCAAACCCCTGCCAGCACGTTGCACGCACGATACGATCGTCGGACTATTGTCTCACTATCGCACACATGATGCCCCGTGCACCGCTCCTGGCGATGACACGGCGCTCTATGGCGACGTTTTCTCGTCGAGAACCCAACGCCATGTATGCACGACCGCCCCCAAGCACCACGCGACCACCCCAATCACAAGACGGTGCACCAAGGGACGCTCGGAAGTATGTCATTGACCACCACGTGTCGCGAGGCAAGACGCACCACGTGCCACCCAGCTGCGTGCTCGTCCAAAGTCGAGCAGAAAAACGTGGGCACGACAACAGCTGTATAAACTGCTTGAAACAAACTGGCACCCCACCGCCACATGGCCTATATATGACACACCGCGCGTGTGTCACCCTGGCTAGACCATGCGGCGCGCCAGCTGGTCAGGGCTGAGTCGTGCTGCGATGCCAGTATGCGTGCTTTGTTGTTTGTTGCGGGGTCGACTTGTGCCGTATCGCACCCTCTTCCTCAAAATACTCATTCTAACTCGCCCCACCTCATCATTCATCGTCCTCATATTCGGCATCCGATACGTCGCCACCCGTCACATCATATCGTGTGCTATCCCAGAATCATCGATACCATCTCATCTCTGGCTCGCCATGTGCATTCATCATTGGATCATGTGGCGCATCATCATACTCGGGGCTTGCACGCTGTTCTGGCTATCGCTGTCGGTACCTGGCTTCCGAGAAACAGCAAACTTGTTCTGCGAAGCCAGAACACGGGCCGTATCCCTGCAGAGACCACCGCCAGGCTCAACGGAGGAGCCAACCAGGCTGTGCAGGAGCTGCCCACACGCGGCATTTCGGGGTTTTTTGGTCGCACACCGCCGTCTCCAAGGGTCGTGAAATTCAGACAAATTCAGACGGGTTTCAGACGGGTTTCAGACGGGTTTCAGACGGGTTTCAGACACGGCACCAAACATTGTTATTTTACAGGTATTGTGAACTTTCAGACCCAATTCAGACGGGTTTCAGACGGGTTTCAGACGGGTTTCAGACGGGTTTCAGACACACGGTCGCGGACATTGCAATCCGTGAAAATTCTGGTGCCCGACCGTGTTGTGGGTCATGGGCTGCAGAATTTGCCGTCGCCGCCGTTCGGACGGGCCCCGAGGTCAGATATTTCGAGGGGGGTCGGCGGATCTGAGAATATTTCACAATTGAGCGTATGCATGCGATTCAAATCAGTTGCCGTTGTTATTCCCCACCTGTCAATTACATGATGCAAGCGAAGTTTTCGAACCATCATGTGCAAATCGGTATATCGATTGCGTTGAATCGCTGCGCATACACTCATTTGTTCGAATGCGTGTGCTGGCTGGCATCCTAATCCTTCGTGCGCTCCGCGTGCTGCCTGAGCAGCCTGCTCACTTCGCTGGCCAGGCGCTCGATAGGCTTCTTGAGCTTGTGGTTCGCATTCTTCAGCGCTGGCTCGAACGCATCCTCGTCAACCGACCGCTTGAACTCGGACAGCTCGACCGAGAACAGCTGGCCCAGCTGCGGATCACCCACGATCTCCGAGTTAACCGCGGAAGGGGGGGAGACGAGGATATCGATGAACGAGGGGGGGGTACGATGGAGGGAGAGAGAGATATAGAGAGAGGGGGAGATCGAGTAGGTGGGGGGCACTGGTGGCCTTCTGGAGGGCATCCTGAAAAGGCTTCGTCAGAGCCTCCTCGGTGCCGTCTGGGAGCTTCACCACTGCGAGGGCCCATGACCAGAGCTTGTCGCTCCTGATGCTCGAGCTCACCGTGCTCGCCTGTCCCGACACCGCGTTGTACATGTTCTTCAACTTGTGGGACAGGGGAACATGGGATCGCAAGTCGACCGTTTATCCGACAGGGTCTTCTTAGTCTGACGATCCTCTTTCGGATGCGAGGATGGGGATGGGATGGCGAATGACGAGGATGAGGACGACGACGACGAGGATGAGGCGAGGACGAGGAGAGGATGGGGCGAGGATGGGGACGGGGACGATGAAGAAGATGAGAGGGGCGGGGGAAGGGGGATACGAGAAGGAGGATCGATGACTCCTCCATCGTCTTCTGCATCCTCATCCGTTTCATCCTCCTCCTCACCCCCCTCCTCCTCATCCTCATCCTCCTCTTCCTCCTCCTCTTCCTCCTCATCTTCCTCCTCCTCCTCCTCCTCCTCCTCCTCCTCCTCCTCATCATCATCATCATCATCATCACTATTCCTCTTCCCTCCCCCTGATCAGTGTTGGTTCAAACGCCTCCGATGACCTTCTTGAACTCCAGAAGGAACGGCGGCTGCTTGCTCGACTTCTTCGGTCCGTCGCCTCCGCCTCCATCTCCACCGCCATCTCCACCATCGCCTCCGTCTCCGCCGTCACCAGCGCCCTTCTTGCTCTTCTTCTTGGGCTTGGGCTTCAGCACCGTAGCGGGCGGCCCGCCAGCGGGCGCCCCGCCACTCGCCGCCGCCTCCTGGCCGTGCTTCCGCTTCTTGGTCGCGCCCTCTGGCATGGGCGTCGCCGCCCCGTCAGCCGCGCTGCCAGCTGCGTCCGCGAGCGCCACCGCCCCGTCGGCCGCGGATCCTGGCCGCCCCTGCTGCCCCTGGCTCGCCTCCTCTGCCTTTGCCGCGGCGATCCTCGCCTCCGCCTGCGATGGCTCCTCGTTGACCCAGGAAGTCCACTTCTCCATCACCTTCTTGTACTTGTCCTTCAGCTTGTGGACGACGTGCAGGTACTTCAGCTGCTTGGACTTCGAGCAGTACTCGAGCTGGTCCCCGCCCATCATGACGCAACTCTGGCACCAGTTGATGCCTGCGCGCAGGCCCGCCAACCCACCACCTTCCTCCATCACGATCTTAGCCAGCGAGATGTACTGGCCGTCCATGGCCTCGGTCTTCTCGTTGATGTCGCCACGTCGGAACTCCGTCTTCTTCTTCCAGATCTCGAAATGACCTTTCAACCACTCAGCCCTGAAGTCCGCTTTCGCGGGCCACCCCTTCTTCTGCTTGTACTTATCAGCCAGGTCCGCGTTGATGGCTTTTTCCCTCCTCCACTTTGCCGCTGCTGGATTTGAAGACGACTCGTCCAGGTCGAAGAAGAAGTTCTTACCCTGCATCTCTTTCCAGAACTCGGCGGACTCCTCGTCTTGCTCCTGGTCACTCATGCCTGTGGCTTTGCGCTGCTCCAAAGCCCACATAGGATCTGCAGCACGAAGTTGGTGAAGTCGTTGCACCGAATCTGAGTTGAACAGCTGCACGAGGCGCTGGGTAGCGAACTCGATGGAGGCCTCATTTGCCTCGGCGCCGCCGCAGATGTCCTTGGTGATGAGGGACGTCTCCACCTCGATCTGATCAATGAGGTCCTTCTTCGTAGCTTCTGCAAGCGGCACCATGCGTTCCCTAAGCTCTTGTGCTACGGGCTGCGTCTCAGGTGTCTGACCGCCGTCGCCCTGTAGCCAGCCCTTTCCGCCGAGTGCTAATTTGGGGCTGCGGCTCCGACTCCTGTGGAGCTGCCTGTCGCACTGCTTCAAGATGTCGTCTCCATCGTCGTCACCTCCAGCACGTTCCACGTCAACTCCTGCCTCACGTGCGGCCTGCGTGTCCAAAACTGTCGGGCCGACCTCGGTGCTCGCCTCGCCTTTGAGCGCAGCCTGCTCGTGGCGGAAAGGGGGACGACGCGACCAGCTTAAGGCTCTCCTGCATGGTATGCGCTGCTGTCTTGATCCCAGCCTCTGCCGAAGACATCCTCGCACTTGCCTGGGCCACCCTTGCCTCGGCGCACTTCCGAGCAGCGTCATGCTTCTGTCTCATGTCCTCCAAGCGCTTCACAATCTCCTCCTGCTTCGCCTTGATCTTCATCTCGCGTGCTTCTTGCCTCTGCTTCTCCTCGGCATCTACAGACTGCTTCATCCTCTCCTCGACTTGCTCCTTCGCAGCCTGCTGCCGAGCCTCGCGCTCCTGAATCCACTCCTCTTGCTGCTTCCTCAGCCAACTACTGTGATCGTCCTGCACGCGCTTCGCCTCTGCCTCTGCCGCCACGCGCTCGTCCTCGATGCGCTGTGCAGCTGCCTCAGCCTCCTGAGCGCGGGCTTCCTCAACGGCGGCCTCCGACTTCAGATTCTCCTCCAGCTTGCGAGCCTCCTCCTCCAGGTCGCGAATGATGTCGTCGTCCGAGGAATCGGGCACCTGCGGGATGCTGCCGAGCTGCGCCCCCAGCGACTTGCGCCTCTGGTGGTCCTCGAGCTCCGACTGGCCGAACCCGCCGCCTGGATCCAGGGAGTCCGTGCCTGGCTCTGCTGGCGGACGTGCTGCGGCTGCTGGCGAGGAGGGCGCAGCACTGTCATCACCGCCATCGCTGCCACGCGCGGAGCGCTCCAGCTGCTCGAGCTCCTCCGTGTGCCGCGACTCGGCGTCCTTCACCGAGGCGGCCTCCAGCTTGGCGAGCGTGTTGGCCAGGCGCTGCGCGTTGGGCACCAGGCTGGTCAGGGGCGCCTCGTCGCCGCCGACCTGGCTCTCGGGGCGGACCAGCGGGGCGCCGTCGTCGCTGGACGCGTCCACCGCGATGATCGGCTGGAGGGGGTGATCCTGGGGATTCTGTTTCATGAAAATGCCACATCTTCTTCCCCTGTCACTCCTCCTCCTCCTCCTCCTCCTCCTCCTCCTCTTCCTCCTCCTCCTCCTCCTCCTCCTCCTCCTCCTCCTCCTCATCCACTTCTCCTTGTCCCCCACGTCTCCTGTCTGACATTCCTCCCCCTCCTCCTCCTACTCCTCCTCCTCGCTGCTGTCCCTCCTCCACTCCACACCATCCCCTCTCTATCCTGTCATTCCTCCTCCTCCTCCTCCTCCACTCCTAACCCTTCTGCGTGCAACGCCTCTTCTCCCCCTTTCTCTTCCTGACATGCCTCTTCCTCCATGCCTCCAAACATCTCCATCCTCCAATACACTTGCCCCCATACAGAGTGTCCTCTGCTGCCCCTGCGTCGCGCTGCCAGCTGCTCGCCATCAGCGCGGACGCGCACGGGACGAAGTGCACCCACGTTCGGATGTCGTGAAACCGAGTCTTATCGACAGGTGGGCTTTTCACCATTCGACTCGACCCGATACAGCTATGGCGCTCGACCTCCGTTTTACCCCCATTCTGAGTCGGATCCCCGCGACCCCGCTTTTCATTCGGATTCTGATCCCTGCGACCCCACGCTGCGTGTGTTGACCCTCCATATGGAGTAGGGACGGGGTCGAATACCACTGCCGATGTCGGAGGGGAGGGGGGGGGCCCTGAGTGACCTGGACGAGGTTGAGGGTGAGATTGCGTGTCCCTGGCGGAGGCGGGCCTGCTGAGGGGGGACGGGATGGAGGTGGGGATCTACCCAGAGGGGGTGGGGCCGAGGTCGAGGAGCACAGCCGACGTCGGAGGGGAGGGCGGGTGAAGTGACCAGGACGAGGTTGAGGATGTCCTTGGTGGAGGTGGGAGCGATGAGGGGAACGTGATGAGAGAGGGTAAGGATGACGACGACGTCGACGAAGACGATGGCGAGGGCGACGATGATGACGGCGACGCTGACCACGATGACGACGATGACGATGACGACGACGACGATGACTATATAAGCTTACGAATCCGACAACGACGACGACTATGACGATGGAGTAGGTTGGGAACACGTTTCCAAGCACGGAGCCACGAGGCGATGTTCGAATGTCTGGCCAGCCCGCGGCAGCGAGCACGGGCGCGGGCCCAGCTGGTCGGGGTGGATCACCCCGTTGTTCGCGATGATGTCCTGGCTGGGTCTTCGTGGAGGAGGGGCATTCGTGGCCGTCCCTCCTCCTCCTCATCCTCCTCCTGCTTCTCCTCATCCTCCTCCTCCTCCCCCTCCTCCTCCTCCTCCTTCCTCCTCCTCCTCGTCTCCTCCTCTCCCTCCTCCTCCTGCTCCGTCCGCTCCCCATCCGTGCCCGCTCCACCCTTCCCTCGCCTGTCCATCGTCATCATCCCTCCTCCACTCATCCTCAACTATTCGTAAATCATCCGCCGTTCCTTTCCTCCCCGAGTTACACATCGAGCATCCCCGCAGGTCCTCGCGACGCGCAGCTAGAAGAAGCCAGAGCCGACGACGAACACGTCGGACGAGGATGCCTGCTGCGGTGGGGCTGGGTCTGTGGCTGGTGCTGATGGCGCTGCTGGTGTTGGTGCTGATGGCGCTGCTGGTGCTGGCGGCTGCTCTGGCGTCGGTGCTGCCGTCGGAGTGGGCATCCTCCGCTCTGGCGTCGGTGCTGCCTTCGGAGTGGGTTTCTTCCGCTTTGGCGTGCTGCTGCTGCTGGCGCTGTCTTCCATGTTCGGTGATGGCTGCACTGCTGGTGGCTGCACTGCTGGTGGCTTGGCGAAGCTCACGCACGTGTCCTCAACCACTGCACTCGGCCGCTTCTGCATTGCACTCGGCCGCTTCTTCAATGGTGGCTCCTGCGGCTGCTCATCACAAGCCGTCGCGCCTGGGGAGTCTGACACCTGCGCCTCCGAGCCCGTATCACCAGCGGCGCCAGAATGATACAGGATGTCCGAATTGTTGTCACCAGAAAGACCGCCAGCATCATCATCATCATCATCATCATGTGTACGAGCAGCAGGCTTCTTGCCCACAGGTGCTGGTGCTGCTGTGTCCTCTGCAGCTGCACCAACTGACTTCGGTGTCGCGGCAGCTGGCCTCTTCCGCACGGTATCGCCCTCGGTCGGCGGGGTGTGCTCGCGCAGCCAAGCGCTCTTCATCTGCTCCAAGTCGCTCTTGTTCGCCTGCCCACTTGCGTATCGCGGTGCCATCCGCTTGAATAACGACTCCACTTCGTTCATGTTGTGGTGGCCTTTGATCTGCATCTGGCAAACCATCTTCTGACCACATCCATACTTTTTCTCCCATATCGCAAGGAACAGTGTATCCTTCCGAGCGTAAGGAACCGCCCATATTTTGACGTCGGCATCTGAAGCCGACGATCCCTCCCACAATACTGTATGCTTCTGCTGACCAACACCAGTCTGCTGCATCTCCTTGAACAACTGCGATGTTAATCCAGGCACCTCCCACGTGTCACCATTCTCGAACACAGCTGTCACCATGGCACCATCGTTGTCACCACATGGTAGCCTCAGCGGCTGGGCCCACTCGATCACTGGCTTCTTCTTGTTGCCCGCCGCCGCCCTCTTGCGGTAGACCGCCTGCGGAGGGCGGTGTTACAACTCCACCCACTCTACACCGGATCCCGCCCAACCGCCGATGACCACGCGACGGACCCCAGAGCCCGAGACGATGTCCAAGGCGAGTCAGGGCCACCAGACGATGTTCACACCACTTTCAGACTACATTCAGACTACTTTCAGACTGATTTCAGACTAGTTTCAGACTACTTTCAGACTACTTTCAGACTAGTTTCAGACTACTTTCAGACTACTTTCAGACTACTTTCAGACTACTTTCAGACAGGGGGTTCAGATGGCTTTCAGGCGGATCTGCAGACATCCTCCAATAACCATCGCTCGCCGTATCCTCATCACATGCCTTAACATCCGCTGATTCCTCCCGCATCCGTCCATCATCCTCATCATCCTCCCCATCCTCCCTTACTGATCCTCATGTGTCCTGCTCATATTCCTCATCTTCCTCATCCTCCCCTCGTCCCTCAGAGAGGACACCAGCCTTCTGGAGGCGATCGAACTCGTAGATCCACTCGTCGTCCTGGCGGCGAGATGGGGCGAGAGGGGCCTCCTCATCCTCCTCCTCCTCCTCCTCCTCCTCCTCCTGTTCCTCCTCCTACTCGTCATCATCGTTCGCCTCCTCCTCCTCCTCCTCCTCCTCGTCATCCTCCGCCGTCCTCCTCCTCATCCTCCTCCTCATTCATCTCCTCGCCCTCTTTTCCGTCATTTCCTCCTCCTCCTCCTCCTCCTCTTCGTCCTCCTCCTCCTCCTCCTCCTCCTCCTCCTCCTCCTCACTGTTTCGTCGACATCGCCGTCGCTGCTGTCGCCACCCCTCCCCTCGGTCCGTGGGCTGCACGTAGAACGGCGTGAGCCAAGCTGGTGACGGGCGCCCATCTGTCCTCGGGGCGTTGGCAGGGGGCTGGCAGCAGCAATGGGGCGACGAGGGATGACTGGGAGCTGGATGAGGAGGAGGACCAGGAGGAGGACAAGGACGAGAGCGAGGACGACGGGGGCAGAGGGAATAGGAGGAGGAGGAGGAGGAGGAGGAGGCAGAGGGCGAGGAGGAGAAGGAGGAGGGGGAGGAGGAGAACGAAGAAGGACGATAATGAGGATAGGAAAGACGAATGATGAAGCAACAGACGACTAATCGAGGATGAAGGTTGATGGAGGGCCGTTGTACGATTGAGTCCCCCGTGTCCTGCATTTGGATATGCCCTGCGACACATGCCGCAGCATCGCACGTATCCGCTGCCCCGCATGGGGCGTGTGTGCAGCATATCAGAGTACTTAGCACGCGCTACCGTCTCTGTTAGCTTAAGTCCCAAGAGCTCGCGACAGTGGCGACAGTTTTACCCAAGGACCCCCAACAGCTCGCGATAGTGGCGACAGTTTCACCGCTTGCAGTCCCTGCCGCCACCAGAACCACACCCCCTCGCGGTGGCTTACCAAACCGCTGCGTTCATTAGCCCACGAAAGGTGCATGGGGGGCGGAATGGCGGCACAGCCAGTATAATCATGTACGACTGCTCGCGGCACCACGCGTCCACCTCTGACCCCAAGTCCCATTCGTCGGACTTGTCCTTGGCCGTCTTCTTGAGCGGCGCGGTGAGGCCAGCCACGGTGATCTGGTCGTGGGGGCTGATCACCTACGGCGGACCCCGCCTCTTCCATTTTCTCCTCCCCTCCTCTCCCGTCTCATCATGCTGCGTCTCCCATTCAAGCTCCTCTCCCTTCTCCACCTCGTTTTTTTCCTCCTCATCGTCTGAATTACTCTTCTTATGTCTCCCCCCCAACAACATCAACCCCGCTGGTCACCTTGCGGATGTCGTTGATCAACCGCTTGTGTTCCAACAGCGCGTCCCCATTCACGGGGTCGTCCAGCTCCGTCGTGTATTCAATACACGTGGGCGAGCTCAAACGTTTCTTGAACACGGCAGCCAGGGAATCTTTCAGGCCATCGCCATCGCACACGGCCTGCTTGCCCCGAGCCATATCCAAATCACAAAAAAAAACAACTCGGGCCCGAACTCAAACGGATCAACGAAGCGGCGTGTCGGCCTCTCTCTCTCTCTCTCTCCCCCTCTCTCTATCGTTATTGCCTCCCTGCTTCTCCCTGTCTCATTCTTCCCCTCCCTCCTCCGCACCGCTCTCCATCTCTGTCCTCCCATTCTTTTCCGCCTCATGTCCTCCCATCCTCCTCCCTTGCCCTCGGAAAGTGTTGACGCGTCGCGTATCCCCACCAGCCCATCCAGAAACGGCGCCCAGGGGAGTTGAGGTGATCAGGGAAGTCGGGGGGCATGCAGAATACCAACGGGCGGGGGAAGCTGTCACGTACCCCAAGAGGGGGAGGATGGAGACGGAATCCTCGTCGGAGGGGGAGGGGGAGGACGAGGAGGAGGAAGGAGAG